AATTGTTTTTAATTTAATTATTGGTTAATTTAAAGTTTTGATTATTAGTGACTTAGTTGACGTGTAGTTTTTGGTAGCTTATATAATTTAGGTGTGTTGTATTTATGGTTTAGATTTAGGGTTTTATTTTCGTGTAGTCGCCGACTTAAATTAGGTTTTACGTAAATCTTATAAATATACGGTTATATAATTTGACTTAAGGTTAGGACGTGTATATATATAAATCTTATACGTCTGCTAGGGGGAGGAAATTAAAACTCAATTCACGTAAGGGTTTATGAGAGGAAAAACAGAGAGGTTTCTTGAGAAGGAAAAACAGAGTGAAATTGAGAGAATCAATTAGGATTGCAGCCATGGATTTAAGGTGGGATCAAGGAAGAAAGAGTCGATGGCTTGTGGAATAAAACTGGAATAGTGGGAGAGTTGCAGGTAGTCTACAGTTCGTTGCAGAATTTAGCAACGGCGATGAAGGTTTCAAACCGGAATCTTAAGGCAAGTTTCATTCTCTCCTTCCTGTAAACTTGTGTTCTGTGCATTCTAAATAGACTCCAGGAATTTAATTAAAACTTTTAAAACAAATTTTATGCATATTAGTTTAGTCTGAAATTTGGTTAACCGTATAATAACTGAAGATGGCTTTTCTTGCATAAATTGTTAGATTATGTGTTAAACCTCTGTAAATTAATTCATAATGCAATGTGAGGTGTTGTCAGGATGGTTAGGAAGTTAGTTAACCTTTATAATGGAATGTTGACACATGTGATCAGACTTTAGATTGTTCATACGTTCAGTTAACTGTGATTGGCGTTTTTGGGTACGGTTTTGTTTTTGTTTAAGATTTTTGTCAATTAATGCGTGCTGGATGGTGAGAAGTTTCTAGGGCTTTAAGAATTTAAATTGAACCCTAGGAATGTTAAAATACTTGGGACAGGAACGTCGGACTTCGCCGGAAACGCAGAAAAATCATCGGACGAAGTGGAGACGAGGCAGAGGGGCTCTCAGGGGTGAGAGCCGGCTCCTAAATGGTGGGAGCCGGCTCCCATGAAGAGAGAGCCGGCTCTCCAAGAGGGAGAGCCGGCTCTAGAAGCCTAGGAGCCGGCTCCAATAAAGGGGAGCCGGCTCCCATGGAAAAAAACCCCTACGGGGTGTTTTTTGCAATTTTTCCGGAGTTCTGGGGTTAAACGCAAATACTAAAAATTAAAGGGGGTTTCAAATATGTTAAAATTAACCTATTAAGACCCTTAAATAGTTGGTTTATGCTAGGGTGCTAATCTTAAGGGGCATCAGGAAACAGAAACGTGGAATAGGCATGCTGTCAAGGAAGGATGAATGTTTAAGTTAATAAGTTTGTTTTAATAACTTAAACTGACTGGCATCGAATTACTTTTGGGATATTATATAAATTATTTATATACTTTAATGGAGGCCAGAAAGTTCGGTGTAGGATATGGGCATAGACAGTATTAACTTAAATATTAAATGGTATGTTATCAGGAGTGGTAGGAATTTTAGTTGCTAGTTTTGGTTTAGCGAACTAAATGGACTAGTGTGGGAATACTGTTGGGGTTTCATATAATGAGCAGTTTGGAATTCAGAGTGTCATATTATATCAGGCACAGGTTTTGGAGTGGAGGATCAAAGGGACGTCATGTGGTGTAAATGCTAACTTTCATGCTGTTAAGGATTTATGGAGGATTTTCATTACTTGTCTTTGTTTTGGCAATTTAAATAATATGGTATGAGAGGATGGTTTGGGATATCTAGTATAATGTATTTAGTTCATATTTCTGGCTGATCATTATAACAGGTTATGGATGTTAATTGATGAACTGTTTAACTTCTGTTTTATCAATTGTATGGATGTGGATAATATAAATTGTTTATCAATACTTTAACAATTTATTTGGAGGATTAATGATTATAATCATATACTGGATGCATAATAGGATCTTAATAATATCTGTTTTCTATTATGCTAGTTTTTGGATTTATTTGATGTTCTAATGAATGTGCATCGTTTATGGATCATTTGCATTATATGTACCGGTATGGGACGGTGACATATCAGGGATGGATTAGATCAAAGAGCTAAGTCCTACCCCTTCTTACATACGGAATGGATTAACTAAAATAGTTAACTCCTACATGGATACATGTCCTGTCAACTAAAACAGTTGAACGACATAATGGATGCTTGTTTTATCTTTCGGCATTAGGAAGGAATTTATATATATATTTATGGTACTGTGATACGAGCTTGAGTCTCCTGATCACGGTTAGGGTGCGTATATTGCAAAGGTTGAGTAGCTAGATATAGCTAATGTTCCCTGGTGGGTCTAGGTACTTGGCCGCTAAAAAGCGTGTTTTATATGTCACCTTCTACCCAGGCTGAACTATGTTATAGGCTAGTGAGCATCCTATAGTGTGTATATATATATCTATGGACTATTGTAGATATTGCCGAGCTATCTAGGATGTATCTGCGTATCGGGTTTATGTACGGATTGTAGTAGGATGGAACTTGCATGTGGGCCTGACCCACCTTTTTTTTTCAGGTGTTCGTGAGTACCAGGCTTAGGGTTTGATCATGGTGATGCAGATACAGTCACTCACTCTTCCGATTACATAGGATTTTCTTTCTTATTTTGGTTTTGGATTTTAATTTTGTAAATGTTTTACCAGTTGGAAATATTAGGGGTCCACTAGATGGATTCCCGAGTTATACGGATTGGAAAGTTTATTTATATTAAAACTTTTATTTTGGAGGTTTTGCAATTAGAATTCTTTTCAGCGTATCATTATTTTATTATTAATTCAGTTTTATTCTTGCTTGTTTATATATTAATTGTCTGATATCCCTCGGATCTGTGCTCGGACTTGATCACCCGTGGCTCTAGAATCGAGGGGTATCACACTAAAGTATAAATGTATTACTTATAGATGCATGGTTGAGTTGCTATCGTATAAATAAACATACTTCTAGAGGCATGGTTGATTTGCCAAAACATAAATAAATATTTGTGGAGGCATGGATGATTTGCCAAATTATAAATAAATTGCTAGGTAAGTTAGATGATTAAATATACATCTATGGATATTGTGTTTATAAGTTAGAGGTGATAAATAATCTTATATTATAATAAACTAATGTTTAATGGATAATATATTACTTTATGGTATTGATAAAATAATATTAGTGAAGGCATGGATGAGTTGCCAAAATATAAATCTTTGTTAGGTGATATTTATAAATAAGATCATACATTGGTGGATATTGGGATTTGGATTGAAGGAAAATGTTTCTTGAATTATTATTTATTATTTAAATGGTTAAATAACTATTTAAATATGGAATTTAGGTTTAAAGGAGTTTTCTCTTAAAAGTGAAATGTATTTGATGGTCAGTTTAAATATGGAGGTAGTCTTATCATTGTTTATGGTCTTGGATTTCAAGAAATATATTAATGAACATATTCTTTATATATTTATATATATAATATATATGTACCATCTTATATTAAAGGTTAAAACTTTAATTAGGATGATTTTGGTTAGAGATGTTTTATTTATTGGTTTTCAGAGACTTGGTAGAGGGAACTTGCTCATGAGTCTAACCCACGATTTATTTTTCAGGTTATTAGAAGTTCCAGTCTCGAGGTTGAGGATCCGCAGCTGGGAGACTGTCATTCATCTACTCGTCTTGTTTACTTTTAAGTAGTATTGTTTTTTTTTTTTTTTTTTTATTGTTAGATATTATGTATAAACTGGTGGATTAGTAATTTATGGCTTAGGGGTCCTTGACTTATAGGATTCTCGAGTTGTATTTTAAAATTTTAAATTTATGAAATTTATTTTTGTCAAGGAGGTTTTATTTTATTAATAGAATTTCGTTTAACGATTTATTCTTCCTGTATTATGTGTTCATTTAAATACTAAATTGTTTTGATATTCCCGTGTTTTCGGGTGTGGGCCTGGCCAACCTACACGTGGAAATTCGGGGGTATCATAACAACCGCCGCTTTCCGCCGCCACCGCCTTTCACCACAATTGCTGCCACTGTCTTACACCACCACCACCCCCTGCCGCTGCCTTTCATCACCACTGCCTTCCGTCACCACCTTTCACCACCACCTTCCACTACCGTTATTGCCTTCCACCACCTTCTACCACCATCGCTACCACCGCCTTCCACCACCACCATCCTAACGCTTTCCACCACCACTGCTACCGTCTTCCACCACCGCCACCTCCATTGCTTTCCACTACCACCATTGTCACTTCCATTGACTTCCACCACCCATGACCACCGCCACCTACACCATTATCTCCTTCCACTGCCACCTACACCATTATCTCCTTCCACCAACACTCTTACCACCACCTTCCACTACTGCCGCTTTCCATCATTGCCATCGCCACCTTCCACCATTGCCACCGCCGCCTTCCAACACCACCACCTCCACCACTACCACTTTCCACCTCCACCACCGCCACTACCACATTTTCTAATTTTTTAAAAATTATAAAAGGATGTCATTTTGTTGACTTAATTTATGTTTTACTAATCGCGATATTTTGGAGAACTCAGTTTGAAATTTATTTCATTTTAAATTTAAAATTGGTCAAACTAGACACTAAAATGGTTATTATCATTGTATTCATACACATTTCATATTTACAACCAAACAGTAGAATGCGAATGAGAATGACTATTCCATTCCATTCCCACTTGCAATTCATTCAATTCCTGCACACAAAACACAACATTAGTGGAATGAATTAGTGGGAATCACCATTCTCGGATAATAGGCAGGAATCATCATCCCAATTTTAAAATTAGTTACTAAACTAAAGAATGGAAACAAAAACATTCCATTCTTATTTTATTTGATTCCATTCACTCACACCAAACATGGCATTATTATCGACCCTTAAAAAAAAAAAAAAAAAAAAAAAAGACTCGGACGACAGTTTGAATGTGAGCGCTCAATACCCTAGAAAAATCTCCAAAGGAAGACGTGCTCTTGAGCTCGTTTGAATCACTGTAGGTGCAAGCAAAGTCGAATAAAGAGAGCTGCAGAGAACATCTTCGTACCTTCTCTCTCGCACAGTGTTTGGAAGACTTCAAACAATACCTAATTGCATTTGGAGAATCAGGTCAAACCTCTGAATCCAATTTGTTCCTTGTTCATTATTTTAGATCTATTTCAATGTCCAGCCTTCTATGCTTTCATTTTGATCTCTATTTCTTATTTTCTCTCTCTATATACACACATGTATGGATGCTTGTTTTTTTGTAACATTGTTTGTGCTACTTAATTATTGTAATATTGTTCAGGGGTGATTTGTTAATTTTGATATTTTGTTTCTTTTAATCTTGAAAACAGCCTTAAGAGACTGACCCGATGATGTTGGGCATTATAAGGCGAAGAGTCGCTTGTGGAGGCTTTTCTTCTTCGGTAGAAACCCTAATTTATTTGTCGTTACGTGTTTTTATGTATAAATATGTACACATTAATTTAAAGGGTGGTCTTTGATGACCCAATTATATTATATTGAAGAAGAATTTTGTGCTTTTTCCCAGGTTTTAGGGCAGTCATTTCATACCATTCGGCAGCCTGTAGTGTCTACGCCTAGAGTTTGCTCAAATGCAGTAGAAGAGGTACAGATTGATTTAGTTTGTTGCTTTTGTTTCTTGGGAGAATATGATGGAGAGCGTTGTAATAATGTGAATGAGTGAGATGCTGAAACATTACACTAATCCACTTATCTCAAAGTAATCATCTAGAATTGAAAGTTCGGTAGCAAAATTTGAATCTGATTTATATTCAGTTGACGTTTGAATGAGTTTATGATTATAATAAACTACTATTCAATAACTACAAAAAGAAGAAATTTGGGTTGGTAAAGTTGGGCATCTAGTTATATGCTTTGATCTCTTCAGTTTTTCGGGTTTATTAAACTGATAAGAAGAGATATTACACTTAATCTTAGCCAAAAGGCAGAGAAAGATATCTTTTTACTTTTTCATGTTTAATTGCTGAGAAAAACTGAGGAATAAAATTGTAAATGAAATTTTAAGTCATATGCTTTCTGCTATGTTTGTTTCCAACAAATAAATAAGTGTTTGGACCAACCAAATGGTTATATTATGGAATGCTGAACAGAGGTGGTTATTTTATTTGGTCCGGGATAATGAAAAATTTAAGACCAAATATTGCAGTTTGTTGTCATTTCCAACCTCTTATTGCCAAGCAATCAAGGAATTATTGTATATATATTTCGAATCTATGCCTTCGCAAAGTCAGTTTTAGTAATCCGTAATTTTAGTTTATAGTTCTGAATTTTTGTACCATCCTTATTGGTAAAGTTGGGCATCTAGTTATATGCTTTGATCTCTTCAGTTTTTCGGGTTTATTAAACTGATAAGAAGAGATATTACACTTAATCTTAGCCAAAAGGCAGAGAAAGATATCTTTTTACTTTTTCATGTTTAATTGCTGAGAAAAACTGAGGAATAAAATTGTAAATGAAATTTTAAGTCATATGCTTTCTGCTATGTTTGTTTCCAACAAATAAATAAGTGTTTGGACCAACCAAATGGTTATATTATGGAATGCTGAACAGAGGTGGTTATTTTATTTGGTCCGGGATAATGAAAAATTTAAGACCAAATATTGCAGTTTGTTGTCATTTCCAACCTCTTATTGCCAAGCAATCAAGGAATTATTGTATATATATTTCGAATCTATGCCTTCGCAAAGTCAGTTTTAGTAATCCGTAATTTTAGTTTATAGTTCTGAATTTTTGTACCATCCTTATTGGAAAAAAGTTCTTTACCAATCATAGACATATGCTATGCCGCTATGGTAAGTGGTAACTTCTAATTGGTTATTATCACTTGCAGAGTCCAATTATTCTATTATTATTATTATTATTATTATTATTTTATTTTATTTTTTTATAAGTAAAATTCATTAAATGCGCTCAAAAGGGGAGCACTCCCAAAGAACATAAGGCGCCCAAGGCGACACTACAATTTCAAGCTATCTACAAAATCCAAAAGAATATCAAAAAATATACAATTTTGCCCATTGACCCAAAAAAAGAGAGAATACAAGGTATATTGATTTTATTTTATTTATTTATTTATTTTTCCATAATTGGTGTTGTATAAACAGAAAAGAAAAAGGAATTATAGGCGCATAGAGGGCATACCCTCAGTCAAAAAGAAAAGAAATAAGCAAACGAAGAGAATGCCCATTTCCAATACACACAATGGAAAGCAGGAGGATATTACAAAGGTAAATCAGAAAGCTGTATTTTGTAGGGGTGTACACGGTTCGGTTCGGTACGGATCGTGCTAGAATCGAAACCGAAACCAGAACCGGTCTCAATGGTTCCTAAAAAATGGAACCGGAATCGGAATCGTGGACAGTGGAACCGAACTGGAACCGAATCGAAAAACGTTACTCCATTAGAATTGCAAAAAAGTTAAAAAAACTGAATCAACATTCAACAATCCAACATCATTCACTAATAGTTGATATGAAATTCTAATAGTCCATTATGCAACAGCATCATCAGCAACAGCAATGACTCCTCCATTGTAGCTGCTCACACAGAAAGCATCTTCCCCACCTTTGTCAACCTTTTAAAATAATTACATATATCTATATATAAACAAGAAACTAAAGAAAATTATTTACCCAAAAAGAAAAGAAAAAATAAGTAAAGAAAACAATATATGCATTCATGGAGTTATATATAACCAAAGAAGATGTGATTAATTAAATTAACAAATAAAAATAAATTATTATGGAACAAAACAACTTAAGATTGAAAGGAAAAGGTTAATAAAACAACGTTGTTATGGATGATCAAGAAATATAAAGAAAATCTGTCAGATCTGAAATACCTACCAAATTGAGATCGGAAGCCGAAGATTTGTCAAATCTGAGAAGACAGAGACCGATCCGACCGAATCCACGAATCACTGACTCAGAGGCGAGTTGGCGCCGCGAGAGTCGCGAGTGTGATCTGAGAAGATAGAGACTTCTGAGTTCTGAGAAGATAGAGAGTAGAGACTAGTGAGTTGATTAGATGAGACTTGAGATAGTGAGAGGGCTGAGAGGAGAGGAGAGGAGGGGAGGCGGAGCCGCGGAGTGAGTTTGAGATGTTAGGTAAACTTAGGTTTAGGTTTTGAGTTTTGAGTTTTGATAGACAAAATTTGTGATTTTAATTTTTAATATTTTATCCAATATCTGATAAATTGAATCAATTGAATAATTAATAATCTGAAATCTGAAAAAACAATTGATTATTTGAGCAGATCTTACAACGGCACAGCCCACACTCCACAGCACGGCCCACAACCCAGTACTAGTAGCCCACAAGTATAATTATATATATATATATATATCGGTTCGGTTCGGTTTCGGAACCAAACCGTGAGACCAGAACTGGAACCGGTCTCAACGGTTCCTTATTTTAGGAACCGGAACCGGAACCGTGAGAACCGGAAATTCGGTTTTCGGTTCTCATGGTTCCGGTTCCGGTTCCACGGTTCCTTTCTTGCCATATACCCCACAAAGTAGCCACAAAAATGTTGCTACAGCCTTGAATTGTGAGGGTTCTGCTTACACCAAGTAAACCAATCCCAAAACTGAATATCATCATCTAGTGGAGAATCAGTCCACCCCAACACGTCCAGAAACCACTTCCATATACCCTTTGCAAATGGATATGTCAGAAGTAAATGATCCCTGGTATCCAAGGTATATTGAATTTGAGAGAAGGGGACCAGAATGGTTGGCGCGGAAGACACAGTGACTTAGTGAGTTCCCTAGGAGAGAAGGAGTGTCGCTCTCAAAGGATTTCCTATTCCTTCCACCATAAAGAAAGGGGAGTGAACCACCAAGTGTCTCTGACTTGGTTCTCCACTGCACACCCTTTCTAAGCCTCAAACATATCCACCGTGGACTCTGGAACAACCCAATCCACACAAAAAATGAAGAACATAGACCAAGCATCCCTTACCACGGGGCAGTGCAACAAAAGATGATTCATAGATTCTCCCGACTTCTTACACATGAAACATCTATTCAACACGATTTGACGTCTCCTTCTGAGGTTATCGAGAGTGAGAATGCTTCCAAGGGCAACGGCCCAAGTGAAGAAAGCCATCTTCAATGGGCCTTTAGTCTTCCAAATAGCTTTCCAAGGGAAGGTGGGGCTTGAAGACTGCATGAGGCTTTGGTAAAACAACCTAACCTCAAACACGCCTCTCGGGATTCCCTTCCACACCATAATGTCCATACCCACTCCCTCCACCACCTGCCTATAGATCAAACTTAGGAAATCTGAGACCTCCAAAAGCTCCCAATCATTAAAATCTCTACGAAACTGCAAATCCCAGGCCACCCTCCCATTATCAAGCTGATAATGCTCAGCAACTGCAACATGCTTATTCATAGAGATCTTGAAAAGGCAAGGAAACCTACGAGCCAAAGCAAAGTCCCGCACCAATCAAAAGCTAACATTTCTCCCACTTCGAACTCTGAACTGGATCCGTTTGGAGAACTCATCCCATCCTTTCCGGATAAATTTCCATGAACCCACACCCACTGGCGACCTCAACTCCCTAGAAGACCACCCTTCATAATGTTCTCCATATTGGCATGCATAGTGTTATTAAAGGCTCAAGGCGCACCAAGGCGTTAGAGGTCCTTTGGAGCCTAGGCACGAAGTGCATGGCGTGCGCCTCAGTGAAGTGAGGCTCACAGTTGAAATTTAAACTACCATAATAGCATTCATATCTCACAAGTCAGATCAATATTCTAAAAATTAATATCAAATATAAAAAAATAAATCCATCAACTATATAAACATTTAAGAACCGTAAGACACAACACAATTTTTTTTCTTGAAAGGCAAAACAGAGTACAAAAAGAAATAAATCTATTAAAAAAAATTGATGACAAGAAAATAAAAAAAAAATAGAGCCAAAAAAAAAAAAAAAAGACAAATAGAAGAGAACTAGACGGAGAGAAAGAGGTAAACAAAGATGAGAAGAGGGGAGTAAAGGAGAAGAGAGGAGAGAGACGTAGAGGAGGAGAGAGAAGAAAAAGAAAGAACTGACATAGCTTCGTCATTTGTCTCTGCCACTAGGGCTTCATCGTTGTTCTCATAGTCTTACTCTTTCTATGTTCGGTCTTGGACTTTATTATTTTTTTATTCTTTCGAACAAAAGATCCTTCTCTGATATGCTTAGGCTTTCTTATTTGTTTATGAAGTTGCCAAAAGTACCCTTTTTGGCTTAAAAGATAGAACAATCATTAAAAAAAAAACAGAAAATAGCAAGGCGCGCCTAGGCATGCCTCGACAAATAGGACGAGGCGCAACCGAGGCGCGCACGTGCCTTGACCAATAGAACGAGGCGCAACCGAGGCGCGCACCTAGTAAACATCAGTGAGCTTGGTATGACAACAGGCGTTAGACCTGTGTCTCGAGCCTAGGCGTACGCCTAGGCGCGCCTTTAACAACACTGGGCAATCAATAACACGCCTCCAAAGAATAGTCCTCTCACCCCCAAATCTCCATGGCCATTTTCCCAACAACGTTTTGTTAAACAATTCCAACTTTCAGACTGCCAAACCTCCC